CGATCCTATAAAAGAACACTTTTTTGATTGAAGAGAAAATCAATAATATCTTATTCCTTTCTCTCGTATTTTATGTGAATTGTAATTAATAATGTGCTTCCAAACGTGGATTATCTATATTATTTTTTCGGGGATTATTTAAACAAGAAAAATAATTGATACTGGTATTAATAAATAATGTTACACTTACCTGCATTCAAAAGCAGCTTTCACTACTTCATGCTCCTTGAATAGTTAATTGAAGCTAATTTTAAACTAAAAAATAAATTCAAAATACCTTGAAATCCCGGATAGACCCTGCACTTAGCAATACCTATACTGTCAATGTATTATAATTGTTAACTAATTAGTATTATAACTTAAACAAATTTATAGTACTTCGGCCGCATTCAGCAAGTTGCCGTTGTTAACGTGATCTATTTGTATATTTGAATCTGGCCTGCTTATATCATTTCAGTTGTTTGAACATTCGTACTATATACTGGTACGAAAAAAATTACCAATTCATTACGGTTCAAGCTAACCACAGGTTGGTGTACGGTTTCTTCAGCTATCAGCTTGCTTCTCTTCACTTGGTACCTCTCGCTCTATTGAAGCAGCTGACCACGAGCGCCTTCAGTTGTTTTTTATTCCTGTAGAAGAAAACCGATTTATAGCACCAATCGTGATGAAAATCTATAGACTGAGAGACAATGATTAGACCCTCTCTCGACTCTCTTCACGAAGTAGTATTAAAGTCAGAAAAATATCTTGGTATCTGCTAAAGATGTTTCTGGACGGAGAACCTGGTTGACTCGGACTCTCACCCAGGAATCGAACCTAAGACATTCTACGATTTTCATTGTTTTCCTGAATTATAAACGTCTTTCCATGTGTCCAGTAAATATCGCAAATTTGTAGATAGTTAGGTACTAAAATCCAACCAATACCTCCCATCATAACAACTTATAATACATTTCTTGCTACTTCAATAAATCTATTCTTCTTAATGAGATAGGTCGGCAAGCGAACGCAGACGGATTACCTGATGGTAAGCATTCGGCGCCGCCCGAAGACACCCATATTAAAAGTCGTTTACGAGTGCAATGCCGGATTAGACTCTTCGAGATTTCGGAATTAAGGAGGGGATGAATTGTATGTCCAGTAACCTTACTCAAACGACGAAATACAACATTATGGTTGTCGAGCCGTCCTATACGTGCCGGAGCTTGGCTCTCCCACGACACTCTTCGTGAGACAAAAATTTAAGTAATGCTGATCCCTCATCATCCTCATGTTTTGTTCTGTTATTGAAATTTCGATTGCGAATTTGACAATTAGTACTCACCAGATGGCGCTAGTGTAAAATAAGGAGCTGACAGACTTCACCGCTGGTGGATGGTAAATTGGCAAATTCCTTGGTCTTAAGCCAATTTTGTAAGTGATTTCAGGTAACTTGGTAATGTGTAGAAACAATACTTCAAAATTGTATGTTACATACAAAAAACTTGATTGCAATGCATCTGTACTAATTTTATGAAGATAAAATTTTTAAGTTTGTATGTAGGTTATCTTTGAAACTGCTGGTCGGATTTCCCAAATTCTTTCACTGATAGATAGCTACGATAGATACGCAAGCGGAAATAGTATGCTGATACCTATATATCTATTGTTTACGCAAACAAGTGATATTCAAGGGAAGAATGTCCCCCAGCTAAATATGGACTAATATTTGTTTCGTGATAACAGTTAATAAATTATAATCACGGAATTTGTTTCTTTATTTATTTTAATCCAGCGGCCCGCCCCTTCGCACGCCTGTACAACTACCTCTTTAACATCAAATGGGTACCTACTATTTCCCCACGGAGTAAGAACAATTTCCCAATATTCCCCTCAAGTTTTCTCAAAATTTTCTTTCATAAGAACCTCCTTCGGAACTCCGGCTTAACATCAGCCTTATACGGCGCCGTCTATGGTGGTATGGAAATCCAACCCTACTGTTAACGTTTGTGCCAATCAAAATAAATCACTGTGGAATAAAACTCAAGTAAACATAAAAAAAATATATTTCAATAGCATTAAATTAACATTTGGTCGACTCATGGACTACATGGGAAGAAAAATTTACATGCAATAATATATAAAAAAAAATAGATAAGTACTTATATCCTTTATTTTTAATATTTTTTCTCAAAATGAATTACAAAAGGTAACCAATAATAATAGATATAAGAAAAGAACATAAAATCATAATAACAGCGATAAAATTATTTTATAATTTACAATCATTCATGGATACTTATTTAACGCGGCGAGTTTGACGTTCGTGCTAAGACTAGTCAGTTTATTAGATGTAATTCCATATTTATATAAGCTTCGTTCAATAATAATTACATTTGTTTATTTATAGCTATCAAAAGGAGAATTGCTTGAGCCAATAGGCCCATGTGAAAGACAATGATTAAGGCTAATACACAGCGCTGCCGGAACAGGAGCATATGAAAAGGGTCTTTTAGAAAGAGAAAACGACCTAAGAATCTTCCGGGGAGAAAGAAGGACAGAGCTATAAAAGGTGTATAGCACCATCCCTCTTTCTCGCCCGGAAGATTCACGCTTTAACAAGAACAAGTCATGGTAGGCCTACTGGTCGTCCTGTGTAAGGCGAGCGGGAGTGTCAGACTCTTACTGACTAAAAACTCCCCGTTCTTCCTCCTGTTCTGGAGAGAGCTGGGACTGTGTTATCTCATTGCGCTTGCACATACATCTGATATGAAAATCATCACATGACTTTTATGTTCCAGAATATAGCGAAAGGGAGTGTTAGACTCCCTCTGATCTAAAACCACTCCGTTCCTTCCTGTTACGAGCTGGGACTGTAATATCTTATTACGCTTGCACCTACATCTGATGAAGTCGCGGTGCATCGTCTGCCCATCATACATATAAGTATTTAAGTTTGCGCGGGAGACAAGGCGCACAACTGATAGGTAATCCGCACCGCGTCTCAGTTAATGCCTAAGTGTGGCTAAGAGATATAAGTAGTACTCAGTAGGTGCCTACTTAGGAACAATAGGAATAATAAAAAAGTGTTAAGACCTGTTTGACCATTGTCAAACAGGTCTTAACACTTTTTCTTCTTTCTTCTAGATAGCTAATATAAAGGATTTGAATATGGAACGTAATTTGTATACGCTAAGAGCCAAAAAGTTTACCGGGCACCTACATACACGAGTATGTACAGGTGGTTTTATACATAAGCGCATCTCACTTTACGAATTGTATATGGAAGTCTCGCTCGCCGAGTTAAAACAGTACTTAACCAAGAACAGAAAAGTAAGTGCAGAAGTACATTGTGTATGCTGAAAAGCGGTTTATAAAGTGATTTCGAAAATCTCATCTTTCGTACCTCGTCGTCACTAAGCAAGAGGACATATTTGAGTGTGAACAAAAAAAAATTAATTTAAGAACTAAGTCTTTCACAAGAATTGCTGGCTACTTATGTAGTTCTTAAATACAGACTTGTTATCGACATCACTTTATTGAAAGTACAGTTAGCGACAAAAAATGTAAACAATAAAAATGCACAAAAATTAAGAAAAAAGAACATTTAAAACAATAATATTTTGTATCATTTTCATAATCATTACGATCATACTGATCATCAGCCAGCATAAGGCCATCCAATATTGGCTCAAATAATATAAAAATATATACATTAATTACTTAAACAAATGATACCTTAAATACAAGCGAAACAAAAGCAATCAAAGGCGATTTTAACGTAAGAACAAAACTTATCGACATTGAATAAAGTTATAAAAAAATAAAAAACATAATAGTGTTTATATGTCTTTTACAGTATTGGCTGAATAGTTGCCAAGAACGTTTATCCGGCACGAGTTTTCTTACAAACTTGCAAGTCAACAATCTTAGAAACTACTAAACCGGTATAATGAAAATTGGTACTTATACTCAGTACATAAAGGTCTGCAAAATTAATATATTACTTTTCCGAAGAAGAGTTAAGAATAATAACTATCGTGAGACATACTAAATTAACTAACAATCGCGGGTTACTCACGTGTATAAATTGAGAAAAGCTCTACTAGTTTCGAACCACAGAGGGGTTCGACTCGACGACGTCACCGCGTCCGCGCACGCTGCTCATGAGGAAGAACCATATTAAGTTTGTAGACCTTAATGTTAAACACGTGAGTAACCTGCGATTTTTAGTTAATTAATAATTAAAAAGGACAACTTTAAGTTTTCATATAAACTTGTGTATCCAACTCAGCTTACATAACTGCTCACAGTATTTCAAAAATATACTCTTATATGAGTTTTTAGATCTCAACATAAATGTTGCGCATGAGTATAAAGCAACAGGTTTAGTAGTTTCTATGATTTCGGAAAAAATAATTACAAAAATAATCTATAATTAATGTCAAGTATATTTACATAGGTATGTAATGTATTATGCTACTAAAATGACATAAAAAAGCAATTAAAACAAATAAAAAGGTACCATAAAAAATAATGACTCAAAACAAATCGTGTTAAGAAAATCAATAATTTTAATAAAACTGAATATTATCTTATAAAAAAAACTGTTTTAAGAAATGTAAACTTTGGTTTGAGTTTAAGGCGAAAGGCCTTACAAACAACTAGCTAGCTAACAGTCCAAATATGAGAAACAGGTTCACTATGTAAGTATACATAAAACGTAATTAAAAATGCCTATTATTATTTTTTGACATTTAAATGTAAATACCTACTAGGTATATGTCCTCGTTATAATACTTTTTCTGAAGTCACGTAAAAACCTACATTCTAATATTTTAGTACAAAACAGAAACTTTTAACTCAGTAGCTGCTTGTACCACGTAAAATTTGTGAAAAAAAAACCAATCGATTTGTCCAAAATTTTTCATGAATTTTTCTCTAGTACGCATCAACACAGTTTTGCTTGGGCCACACTAAAGGGAAATGCCATTAATTATCGCGATAATTGATGATATTTAAACAATGAAAAATATACCTTAACTTATTTACGATTATCGCGATAATTAATGGCATTTCCCGTTAGTGTAGCCCAAGCATTTGAAAGACTCTTGTCTTTGACACCGCCCACTCTATCTCTGTGCCCTGAAGACAGCTTCATAAAACGTAGCCCTAACCACACCTTTCCGCAGATCACAGCCCTAGTAAATCTCCTTCAGAAGCTTCTCTCGATGTACTAATTACTTAGTTGTCAGGATCGTCCCATAGTAATAAACTCGTCTGGAAGTAATTTATCTCTATTTTAGAAAATATTGTAAACGAGATAGCATTTCTATCTGCAGTTTACAATTTTTCCATAATTATAATTGAACCTCGTATTGTTAATGATAGAGGATCAGATTTTGTTAGTGGGGTAAGCAAAATGGGAAATAAGTTAATGGTAAAATTATTTATATCGTGTTAATTATAGGGATCGATTGCTCCGAAAAACTTAGTAATAAAATATTATCCTTCACCTGTAAGATGTAACGTAATAAATCCTTTGTATTTTCTATTTAATTGTTAATTGCACATCAATTTTGAATTCGTCATTTAAACTTAATTCTTCGTTGAATTTGATAATGATAGTAATATCTTAGTACAAAGGGGCTGATTTTTATAACTTTTTAGTTGTGTGTTTAATTACGTTACATCATCTTTCCTATAATTTATTAATATTTAATCGACTGCAAAATGAGATAAATGTAGTAGTGGACGAGGTAGGACTGGAATGATTCTTCTATAACCATAATCTAAAGGAATAACCAGAACCGCGAAGCCTTGTAAAAATTAAGGTAACTTAAGGAATTTCCCTATCACCAGTTATAAGCCATATCGAGCATTCGAACTACATTATACCTCATCATTCAATCCGAATTACTCTATACTCAAATTTTTAATTCAATTCAGAAAAATGAAACTTTCGTCGTGCAGCATAATAATGAAATGTGTGACACTACTGAGCAAAGGCTTTTCCTCATAAAAATAATTTATGAGATTTATCACCATACTCGGGGCAGATTGCCAATTTCCAACTTAGATTTTGTATGTCATTAATTTTTGTCACAATGTTCACCACACCACTGACATAGTGCAGGAAGCACTATGTCAGTGGTGTCTAAATGATCTTTAAAAGTACATACGACTGGCAATAAGTTTTGCCAGGTCGGAATCCGCACCTTTGCCGAGGGGTATCGTGTCGACCCAAGGTCGTAGTATTAGGCCACTACGACCGGGCCACTTTTCCACATGAAAGTTCAGTATTCTTGAGTATCACCATAATAATCACAGTCACATTTTACTGAATAGGATTAAAAGTCTAAGATAAGTTATTTTATTCAAATAGGTACTGACCTCTTCAGACGTCCGTTCTGTAGGTTGAGGAGTTTGCGTCGGTTCGGGCGTTCGAAAAATTGTTCGTTTGTGTCGCCACAAGACAATCTTGAGCATCCATATAGCGATGGTGTAAAGAATCAACACCATCACCGATATTATGATCATGAAGACCACTGCCTTTGAAAAAGAACATTGCAATTAGTTGAAGAGAAAAGATAACAATAAAATGGGAGCGACAAAAACATAACGTGATGCCGATGATACCTATATTAGTAGTATATGTATAGCCTGTAGTGGAGTGTAGTATAAAAATATCATTTATTGATCTAGCTTCATCTCAAACACATGAACACACACAAATGAAGTTATTAGATGATTTTACTCCCAAACATAGTCTCCAAACCCTCTTCAGACACAAAAAGCATTCTATGAGAACTACATGAAAGTTAAAAAAATTGATTTCGCTACTACATTATTCGGCGCTTTGGTTGAATTTCCAAATAAAAACAGCCTTTATGCATTCAAGATCATCTCTGTGCAAAATTTATAATTTTAGAAAACCTACAGCCCAACTCGGAGATTGCACCCGAGAATAGGAAGGTGTATATTTTTTCTAATAATTGGGCTTCACTTTATGAAGACTCTTAAAGTAAACTCAACAATGAATTACCAAACCAATCTCACCCCAATACTGGCATCCTCAGCCTCTCTGCACTTTGTATCCGATACGAAAGCATTGAAATAGAAATCATTATTTCAATATTTTGTTAAACTCATTAATAATTGTCTAATTTTACGAAAATACTAGATTTCTGTGCGGTTTGCCAGTTTCAAGTATCCAATTTAGTAGGAGTTACTTACCATTATAAAGCTGGTGTTTCGTGTCTGGTACACGCAATCGCACCTTGGACAAAACATGTATAACTTCCCCTCAAGCTCCTCCCTTATTAAAGGAAAGACAACGTCCTCGCAGTTGCTGTAGACAAATCGTACCTTATAGGACCAACAAATACACACATTGAATATTTTTTTAAGGGATGCGGTGGGGAATTCCTCCATTAATTTCGGCCTTGAGAGTCAAGCAAACAAGAGAGTGTCAGATTCTTACTGGCTAAATACCACCAAATTCCTTCACCTACTCCGAGCCGGGCATCATTGTGCTACTTTCTGTGGTGGTCTGATAGCTCTTTGAGGTACGCACGAAATGCGACGCTCCTCTCTTTGGGGACTGGTTCTGCACTTCTGCTAGGGCCACGAGCTACCCTTGCTGGCGAAAGGCGTTAATGATAATTAACGGTAGCGCAAGTGTCGCAAGTGTCTCTTGCGTCGGCTGGGGCATGTGGAGGATGCTTTTCTCACGCGCCTCTTTCTTCTTCATAAAAGGAATAGAATATTCTCCTTCATAGAAGGTGGAGTCCCTTCTGTCAGTCAGTGCCTCTCGCTCTGCATCGTGGCCTGGACCAAGGCCGGGCGCGAAAACTGCTCAATTTCCTAAGAAGACAGCTGAAATAGGCCACACCACCATACCCAACGGGTTATCCTGGCAGTGACGACACTAGAGCATTTTAGCTGACCGCATGGGGGAGATATCCTCCTCTTCACGCTCCAGCCGCCGCAGTAGGCGAAACTCCAGGCGTCGCGATTAAGAGACGATCTCCGGCCAACGTAAGCGCGGGTCTGCGGACGTGGAGAAAGCGTTACTCGCCGTGCGACCAGAATCACACCCGAGCGTACTGCGCGTAGCGTTCCGCGCGCGTCTCAGAGCCAATAGACCACCACAGAATTGGCCCTATAGGGCTGATGTCCAGCCGGGGTTGCGGAGCAAGCACCATGACTCACCGCATCCCCGGCCCAAGGCAGGAAAGGGAACGGGGCTGTTTTTAGTTAGTAAAATTCTGACACTCCTTCACTCCAGATCCTGACAAAAAATACCTCAGAACCTCTAACTCCATATAAGTTCATAGGTAGGTAGATATAGACTTACCATAGATTAGGAGGTACATTCCCAGTATAGATCTGTCGGGTGGACGATGTGTTAAGGACTGCAGCAGGGCTTGGGCACACGCATCGACAACGACGGTCCTCGAAGAATTGCGCCTACGAAAGAGAAACCCCCGCGTTATTGACAACATCTCAACGCACACTCACTTATGTTTGTCCTAGAAATAGACCGTCTCGCACGGGGGAGGTAGATACACCCCCAGGTAACGTCGCGACGTATCGATTAATAATACTCATATCTATTTATATTTTTTGATATCAAAATATATTCCGAGGTGAAACGTACAAAGGACCCGAACGCTGATTGATTGAGTCACTATGATTTAGCCGGAAGAAGCGAGACGCGAACAGGGCGTGGCTGCACGGCGCATCTGGGGCGCGCTGCACAGGTCATTAATATCTGCGCTATCGATTACTTCCGTAACAAAGGACCTCAACTAGAACGTTCCGAATTAGTTTATTTTTTTTATTTAACACTCCGAAAACACCTTTCCACCACATAACTAAACACTGAAGACGACAGTTATGCGCAAAAACTACTAAACGTAAATTTTACTGCACTCGGTATATCCTTATGCTAGAAACCTACGACACGGACGCTCTGACGGATGGCAAATTGAAGACTGAAGGGACGACGCCGCCCGGGACGCGTCGGGACGCTGTTGCACCCGACCCCGCACTCCCCTCACAGCCTCCTTGCAACCCCCGCAACTACCCCTTCCTACCCGCTGTCTTCCAAGCGAGGTCGCGGTTGATGCACGTACCCCGCGTCCCTCGCGATCCCCGCAGCTCCTCGAGCTATACCCGAGCCCTGGCAACCGCCCCCTTATGTATCATGGCTCAGCACAATGGGGCGCTACGCTCGCCTTATGTACTTGGCACCCTAATCCTATCGACCCTAGAATACCTCCACCTCCTACACGCATGATTTATGAGACTTGGGAGTCGTTGGTTTGCTTCAATTTACTTTATTTCATGAAAACACTGTTTCGTCGTTAGGTTTGGTTAGGGTTAGTAGCTAATTTTATATTTACTGTTCTTATGGGTACGTTCTAAAGCAACTGAAATTTATTTACGGTTTTATATAATAAAATAGGATTTTTATATAATAATAATAATAAAATGTTTATAGTAATAAATCCGCAAGGAAGTTTGTGGCGAGCTGATAGGCAGTGGCGACCCCACGAACCTGACTCCCGGGAGGTGTCTTGTTCTTCATCTCCGATTCGTCCTTGTGACGCAGGAGCTGGAGTGAACATTGATGAGGAACGAGCCTTACTACCTCATTCTTGCCTTAATTGGCTGGCTTGAGTAGAGATTCGCAAGAGTAGGAGTTGAAGTAGACTCGGGGGAAGGATGTATCTCAGTAAGGTGCTGGTAAGGATCTTTACCCTGGTGCTGGTAGGGTTGCAGTTTTGCCAGTGTTCGTGGCTTAGAAGCTAGGCTTCCACAAGCACATCATTGTCAAGCCTATTGGGATCGTGGGCCTTGGGACCAGACAACTCGCCTTAATATATGAATATCATAATTGTCGGCTCCCTACGACCTTAATAGGTCGTTTGCCTACATTGTTAGTTGACATCCTTTGTGGATATATGCCAATATGAGGCTTTTAACCACTAAAGGATCTGTTCAACGATGATCAAAGATTTTATGATAAAAATGTCAGGCTGTCGGTCAGCCATCTTAGTGAAGCTATTTGCTATCCCCTAAGTGTAGATCCCGATGGAGAAGAACAAGCAAGAAACTCCACGGTAAACTCTTTTTCAATCAGTTTTACAATAAGATTCTTTGTTACATTATTGAGTTTTATTGTGTAAGAACACAGAAACATTTATATTTATTCAAAGCGACGGAAATTTAAACAGTTCCGAGCTGACCAGTCCCAATTGACGGCGCACGATCACTAATATGACAAGTACACCAGCACCGCCCAACTCAACCATTTTATAGAGTATCAGTGATTCAGTATCTGCGTGAGCATAAGAATTCCAAGGGGTCAGAAATACCTACATTCTGTTAGTCTAATTTAATTCTAATTATAGGGTTGCAGGGCACTCACATTAACAAGCTTATCAAGTTTGACAAATTATAAGTAGCTTGATTGTTATATTACATGATTACTTTTTTATATGATATGACAGCAAACGAGCTACCAGATGGCTACCTGATGGTAGGCAATGCCACCCAAGGACACCCGCAACAACGGAAGAGTTATGAGCGCTTTGCCGACCTTTTAGAGATTAGGGGAGAGGAAGGATTGACGATGGTTCACGCTGGTTTTCTGTGAGGCTGTGGTATCATTCCGGTCGAGCCGACCCATTCGTGCCAAAGCATGGCTCTCTCGCACTTAACTAAGAATAGTTACGTTCAAGAAAGAATTCACTGAAACATTACTGATTTTCGTCTATTTGCATTTTAAATACTATCTATCAACCTACTTTTAATACGTACCCTAGAAATTCTTTATCTACATTTGCCAACCTGATATCAACACAAACAATGGCATTAGTAGGCACCTATAAGTATAAAAACTGCATTCATTCCGTTTTGTAACAGATAGATTCATTTGTGATATGACCTAGCAACAGTTGTAACTCATTGAATAACATCTGCACATTGACTGGCCACTTCCCCTCGCATTGTGAGAACAATTTAGCCCTGTTTGTTAAAACGGCGAGTTTGTTCCACGTCATAACCAGACCATCGTTTTAAAAGTTTAACCACTGTTATTACGTTCCTGCCATATGCACCCACTTGCTACGATTCTCCATGAAACTATCGATCAAGTATAATTATTATACTGAATCATTGGGAACTCTTTTTGGTAGTAATAATTATGGAAATATCTCGTTGTAATCCCCGGAACTACTGATCGATTTAAACAATTCATGTGTTTCCGTCCACTGCTAAACATTGCCCTCTCCAATTTCAAGGTCGGTCTCCCCTGCAGCACACATCTACCCCAATGGTGATCGGTTCCTAATTAATTCCTCCTTAATTTCATCCTTTGGGTTATATCGACAACTGAAGTTATATTTGTGACTTTAACAGCTCAAAACGGTTAACTGCAGGAGTAAGAGCCTCTTCTACATAACAGGAATTTGTAATAAATTCCACCAGGCGCATTAGCAAGGGAGGGGGTTGATTAGTTTATGTTTATCAGGGAGCTCTGTGGCTCATCCAGCGGCCGTTATTCGGTGGTGCGAGCGGTGAGACAGCAACAAGTAAAACACAATGGGGCGCGAAAACCAACGGCATCGTGAGACAACTGACGATCGATGAGTTAAAACGCCATTTTTATTTTTAGAACAACCTAAAAATATTAGTAGAACCAGCACTAAGCAAAGTCTATGTTTAATATGCAAGCCCTTAGTCTGCTGACGTCACCCGCGTGAAGAGCAGAGGAGGTGACAAATATATTCTACTCTGTCGTCACCACAAGGCACCTCCCTCCCGCCTATTTCGTCTAAAATGCTCTTAAACTTTATGGACTGTAAAGTTTGTGGTCTCACGTATGAATGGGCGGGTCAGTCGCCATGCTGTTTTATGATAATAGGTGGGCGGATCTATTGTTCAATTGATTAATCCACTTTCCTACACTTTTAGTTATCTAAAATTTGTTATTGTTTCATCGTATACATGTATATAGCTTACTATATTACAACAATAACTTCTAATGTTACAGTTGTTTTAAGATTTTGTTAATAGACTGATTTCTCACGATCGGTTTGAGCAAAAAATTCTTCGTTTTGGCAACTAATTAGCAATAAATTTTTCGCCCATTTCATATTGCCAGTTTTACGGACCTCTGCAGTACATAATTGCGCTCGCAACCTCGTCTGTTGTGCCGGGGTAAGCGCAATGGGGCACCGCGAGAAGGAACAGGGGGGTTTTTTGTCAGTAGGTAAGTGTCTGACACTCCCTCCCGCCGGGCCCTGGGCGGGAGAAGTCATTTGATGATTTTCACCTCACAAAAAAAATACCTCATCTGTTGTGGTTTCATGACTTTTTTAAGTAGTGTAAATTGTAAACAATTTCAATTTCAGACTTGTTTTTTCTCTATGTATAAATCGCAGACGACTGGTTTAATCATCAAACCCCAAGCGAACGCCGGCGCACCTATTGTTCTTTTACTGTCTCTGTAATTACTACGGTTGAAAGATTAAATAGCCATTTAAATAACGGACTGAATGACTAATCGTTTGATTGAATGTCCGAATTTCTAATACAGTTAAAGGTAATTCAATAATTATATTTGACGGCTTCCTAATCCCCCATGGCGCGACACACGACGAGACGAACGCCGCGTAGCCATGGTGAATAGATTGCCATGAAGATCGAGTTACTTAGCTACCAGAAATGTACTCCGATATCATTTATTTGGTAAACAGGTTCTGCCGTTAATTGAATAACATTAGATTTTATATAAGGTAGGTTACTTAACAAATAACAGTTGTATTTTTCAAAATAATCAATCATCATCAAGTACAAAGTAAAGTCTCTTAACCAAATTTATTATCGATAATGACTATCGATTTAGGAACAAAATAAGCACATGAGAGCTTTGTAAATGTCATCGATAAGTCGCCTGGCAAATCAACCTTCAATATTTCTCAGCTAGGGTGGGGCAAAAGGGGGCTTAGACTCTTACTACTGAATAAAATCACTCCGTTCATTATCCTGATCTGCGTTTGCCCCGCACTATTAGTAATGAATTATTGTTGTAAGGGTAAATCAACTAATATTTTTTCTCGGCAAGTGGGGATTTAGACTCTTACTGACTAAAATCACCCCGTACTTTCTCCTGCTTGAGGGCGAGGCGCTTTCCCCGCACTATCAGTAAGGCATAATAGTATTTAGCATCCATAAATATTGTATGGCAGAATGTTAACATTCTCGAATTTGCAACAGCGCGAGCGTCCTTAACACATATGGTAATTTTCAACTAACAACGAAATGTATGAAAGGACATTTTTCTATCAATTTTGTCATTTTTTATAATGTCCAATAGCTACTTATTTTTCTTTAATCGAGGAAATTAGCCAGTATTGTTGACACAATTACGATTGACATGTTTAATATTACGCGTTTACTATAATGTTTATTTAGAGGGACAGTAAAACCTAGTAAAACTTACGAAACCGACTGGTTTTTTTTAAATTATGTTTTACCGAATATTGACTGGGATATCGAATATTGAATTGACGAATACTTATTAACCTACTCTCTAACATTCCCGTCAGACTCACACTCTTTGCTTTATACAATACAAAATTCTTATAAATATATGTACAATCAGTGTTTGTTCAATTTTGTGTCAGAAACGAATCGCTGCTAAGTCGATCACAGTCAGGGCAGATAGCCCTAGAAACCCGGAATTTAAGCCTGCGAAGGGGAGACAGGGAGACGCACGTGGGGCCGCCCAACACGAGCCGCTTTTTTATAGCTTTAATTTCTGTTCAATTAGGCAATCACTCCGTCAATCAGTTATCATCGTGTAGTATAAGAGCCTATTAATCCGTGCCTATAAATGAATAAAAAGGGCCATCTGAAAACCAGTGCAAGTGCAGTGTAGCAAGGGGCTTTGCTACGCTATATATTTTTATTTTTGTGTAATGTTTATTTTTGAATGTTTTCTACATATGTATGTGTAGCTAAATAAATGGTTAAAATGGTTTAGAACCTCGCCTTAAAAATTATAGGTGTGATGTTATGTATTATAACGAAGGCCGACTAATTGTAAATATTAGATATAATACTTAGTTCTTAATAACGAATAGCATAGTAGATATAATACAGGAGTTAGGAAATCAAACAACATTTCTTTTTCAAACTATTTATTTACTGGGTGGCTTTTAAGAACGGGATTCAAGTATTGAAAAATAAATGACGGTTGAGTTTTATACTTTATTTAATCAATACAAAATGCACATAATATTTAATACATAAATAGAAGATAGAACAGTGAGGCAAGCTTAAAAAATGTTTTGAGCAATCACAATAAGTAGCATAAACAATATATCTGACCCATGAAGACGCACGACAAATCAATACACCAATATTTTACTTCAGTAAAGCGCTCCTGCGACACACCCATTTTAAAATACTATTTTACAAAGAATAGTCACTCACTCACGGGCTGATCACTTCTGAACAAAGGTCTTATTTAAACCCAAATGAACACACACAGATCCAACCAAAGAGAAATCCATCTTATCGTTAAAGGGCCGGTAACAATCCCCATAGATAATTAGCAGGTGGCTTGTAAGACGAACTCAAATTGATATAGATTCTGCAGTCCGTGTTACACTGGCCAGTCGCAGTACATATTCCGTTTAAACACAGTCAACGCTGAGAACAAGAAATGAGCTCGAATTTTCTTCGAGTCATGACGCTTAGTGCTTGCGTTCTGAATTTGAACAATATGGTTTCTTCAAACTCCCACTTCACGACCTGTGCCTCAAGTCCATCAGTCTTGTTTGACAAATTCTTGAATTCTTCCAATGATCTTGTTAATTTAATAAGCGTTGGTTGAAGACGACCATATTAAAAAATATTTTAACCATGTTTGCCTCAGCATTTTCAATCGTTTTGATGACCGTTTTCACATGTTCAGTTACTTCACATCCAGGCAGGACTCGACAGGAGACGATCAAGCGCTCTCTGATAAACCAGACTTATAACTGCCTGCTATGGATTTAGAAAGGACATCCAAACCCGTCTTATGTAGAGATAACTGCTGAGTGGAAAAGTAATCCCCCAGCCCAACTTTCAACAAAATCTAGGTATTTTTCTCTTCTTGAACAACCCCATTCCACACACGATAATTTGTAAAGATGGCCGCCACAGCCCCTTTACAGTGGATGCGTAACAAAGCAAAGGAATAACACCACAAAGATTACATCAGAAGATTAACGAATATATTTAACATAACATCACACCTAGTATTCTTATTGGAAGGTTTGAAGTTACACTTGTGCCGTCCCTACAGTTATCTAACCAGTTTTACTAGACCCTTGTAATGTAGGAGGGGGCGGGCCTATAAGCATTATCCGTGTGATAATCTAAACTCTTCCCCATAGTTCTACATGTATCAAACCTTATCAATAGTATATTGCAGCAATAGAGAAAACGCACAAATTGGTATTCGCTCGCAATTATTATAGTCTTAGATCGATCCATCGTTTAAACAATTCAAGTGAAAAACGCACAGCTTCTCTAACATTATCTGTAGTATTATAAAATGTAAATGAAGATTTAAAATGTTCATATCTAAACACTAGATTAAGTTAAATAGACGAAAATTGTAACATACAGTAAAAATATGACTCACCGCTTTCAGGCTCCTGGATGCAATGGAGGAAAGGAAGGCGGGGTCAATAATTAGTGTTAACATTAACAGCCGATCGATACAATAACAAACATTGAAGTTATAATAAACCCAATACTCATCATTTTACATAATACATATTGAAAATAAATTTTCTTACCTTTACTAACGCCATAGACATCAGTACGATTATAATTTTCGGATCCATTCTATTAATAATTTATTCTCGACTTCACCAAACACCGGAAACAATGACTGCAACAGCGGGGCGTGTCCACGGATAGTCGTCCAATGAAAATCTGAAATGGTACAAATCGTGTTCATGTAAGGTGCCTCGAATCAATACTCAAAACCGACTTCATCACGTTAGACGTAAGGTCCATAGTTGAACAACTCTATCAGTTGGTAGTAAAATCGGAAGCTGCAACGGAGAAGATTTATTGCCAGTAAATAAAAACAGTTGTACAATTTAAGAGAACGTTTCGACTATCCGTAATGTTTACAGAGCACTATTTCAATTAATAACAATAGATACAAAAGAAAAAGCTTAATACCCTCTTGTAGATCGTACGATTATTTCAAGGGAGATAATTGTGTCATACTTAAGTATCTATTAAAAACAAGAAAATCCTTTTAACAGTAACATGTTTCTAGGTACCGTATCTAGTATCGAATACGTGATATTTGTTGAAACAATGGAATCACGGGTAATATTGGTAACACACAATGATATTTTGGTACCGCATATATTTCCTGATTATTTTAAGTGCTTTTTGAACGAATCTGTTGTTGTTGATGTCGATGTGGTTCTTTCAACGCGGACCCCAAAGGGCCGCGAGAATTGAATATATTACAAAAGTTTATATACTTAAATAAATTACTATTATCCCTTCTGTCAATATACGCCACTTTATTTCTTGTTTTTAATCATTATTTAGGATTTAAAATATAAATCGAGCTGCTTATTTTTTGTGAGAGTTAGAACTTTGAAGTTTATAATTGATTTTTTGATCTCTTATTGAACTTGCTAGAGAATGAGACACACTGGGGCGGATTCGCTCTGAAGTTCGCTTTGATAAACATTTTGGCGGCAATTTTAGTATTTACTGACAGTTTGTTCTTTTTTAAACTTCAGGCATGTTTGCATAGTTTGTTTTCAATGTTCCAGTGTTATTAAACATGAAATAGTTTTTATATCGGCAAAAAGGTTTTATTAGATCCTCTACAGAACTATGATAATAGTGAGGTATTTTTATTGTATTACCTTTAAATATTTGTTCACAATGGGTTGCTACCCAATATTGTTATGTAAAGTATAACAGATGTTGAAAGATAAGGCAAATTGCCTATCATTAGAACCTAGGGCCCTATTGGCTAGGCATATTTCCCTCATCAGCTGACACAACGTTTATTTTTTTAAAGCTGTGTATAACTTTATAGTAGAAAATAATTAAAATGTGATTTAATTTTGCAAAAGGATAATATGATGGGGTTGTCATATCCGAGATAAAAACCCCAAAATTGTAGAATGAAAATAATAATAAGAAACACATTAGACCATAGATTTTCCATATTCTCCATGCAGGGTAGATAACTGGTTACAAGGTCTGGTCTATTAGAAAGTGTTCGCAACAGCAACGCGAACAGCAATGCGAGTTAAATATACCATAGTACATAATTTAGTCGGCTCTTACGACACCCACAGAGAGAGAGAGGAGGGAGGTAGAGAGATAGAGTGTGTGTGTGTGTGTGTGTGAGAGAGAGAGAGAGAGAGAGAGAGAGAGAGAGAGAGAGATTGCGTGTGTGTGTGTGTGAGGGAGAGAGAGAGAGAGAGAGAGAGAGAAAGAGAGAGAGTTGAGTGTGTGTATGAGAGAGAGTGGGGGGGTGGTAGGAAGGATCCAAACGGGGGAGTGATATTTAATATTATTTTACAACTAGTTTAACTAGAGACTAGGTATGACATATAACATAGCAACACTGGAATATTAACAAACTTTTATTATTATTTTGTTTTTTGTTTTGTGTCTACTGCGAAAAAAGCCATTGTCCTGTAACTAATAGCATTATTTTTCTCTAGTTCATGATTTACATGTCAATTACATAAATAAATTAATTAATTAATTTTATAGATGAGGTTAGGTTACCATTCATCTGAGAAGGAATGCCAAAAGTAATTCAGAAGTTAGTCACTTTTAAAGACAAAAACAAAATAATGATGTAGTCTATACTATGTGTGGTTAATTAAAAAAAACACCTACAAATAATATTCAAATAATCATTGCTTTCAGTAATTTTTAGGAAAGCATTCTTATTTGAGGTGGTAATATAACATCACATTCTAATATTTTCATTCTAAATTAATAGAAAGATTTTAATTATGACATGGTTAATTATCGCAATCCCTATCGCCTAGATTCCTGTAAAGTACAATAACCATCATTTTTTTTAAGTTTTCTATAGTATGCTATAGGAAAATGAGGAAAAATTAAAACTAAAAATGATAGCAATATAAAGCATACCAAAAAACCTATTTCATTTATTTCTGAACTGGTTTCTTATTACATATAAGTATGTTATTATTCATTTTATGATATCTGTGTATTTACATGGACTAGCTGCCACCTTCAGCATTCTAGTTGTGTGTTAAGAACAATTTTTGCCTGCAGCCTGCGTAAAACAAGTAAAGATAGCATACTAGAATGGATATATTGTGTGGACATGTTATAAACAGATGGAATTGGCTCTAGACTTAATCTAATTGATGGTAATGGAAAAGTGGAAATGTCAGACAAACACCAGCTAAAACCACCACACAACTGCCATGGAAGATATCATTTTTTAATTAATACCAAGCATTATTAAAGCAATTAGTATGTGTTAAATACTTTCCAAGCAACTTCCAATATAAATGGTGTTTCGCTCACCCCTATTCATGGGTTGAAATAGTTGTCAATACGTTTGCAACCTACATGCACTGTCACTACAATATGTTTACATTTGGCCCCATGTCAACAAATGTAATCAATGTAGTCGGAAATTAATTGATATCCCTCATTAATTGCTCATTTTTATTCAATTAAATCTTCATCATGTAATGTCGATATCTATTTAATTGATTGTCTCTGTCTGTAAACAAACTACCTGTTACATTTATATTCAAAACTTTTTTACTTATAAAAATAATAATGTTACGACATAAGACCGGCATACAAAAAAACCTTTTATACACATGTAACCTAACAAATTTCTGATAAATTAAGATATGCACCACGTATTCACATTGTTTTTGTGGTCCAAAAATTAGATCAATTGATCAAATCTAATCATGTCTGCCTTTCCGGTACAAAATTTACACAGAGAACTATCTGTTTCGTAATTATTTACTAGAGATTTGTTGTTTTCCGTAAAGTTACTAGGCAAGTTCACAAATTATATTAGTTTCTTAAATAATTTTTAATGCTTCTGTCTGCCGAATAAATTCATACTTTGTTGTTTTCAATCGGTTAACGACATTGTCAAGTGTCAATGTCAAACAAAAGACAACACTACACGATTGACGTTTCGGTATCGAGATAAAAGAGAATAGAATAGACAATCAATAGATAATTATTTGCCATAATACGTAGTATTTTCCAAAAAGGTGTACTTAAATGACCATTTCTACTACGTATTTTTATAATAAGTTTTCAGCTTCTTGTTGTTTATTAAAATAACATTTGCATTTCAATGAATAAAGTGTGCAATTATTATTATTTGTATGATATGAGCAGTTATATACTATAACAAAAAAGAAAAACATTAAAGATTATGTAATCTTAGTGAAAACAAATTAATTAAGACCATACGTCATACGTAATTCGCTAGTGTGCCCAGCGCCGTAAAAGCTGTCAGACGATTTTCTACTTCGTAACTAAATTGCAAAATTCTATCTAGTCTATGTACCACGGCTGCTGACCGATCATGTTTTGAAGTGGGTAGAAGCTATATGTGTTACTTTTGTGATGACTGTACGAGATATTTGTAAGGTATTGTTTAAAAAAATATTGTTTCGTAAGATTTTTATTACCTATTTTAATATGTACAAATAGTAAAGTGAGAATCATGGCGTATACTCCGACCACCAGACGACTGCCGAGGTGGCAATTTTCAGATGTCATAATTTTGTTCAGTGTCTAATTTTTACTTTAGACGCCTGCTTTTCGACCTTTATTTATAAATTTTGATCACTTTTGGTTCTTTTGAATATATTCTATATAAATAAACTAGTCTAACATTCACATTAAATATGACTAAACAGAAAAACGTCATGATTCTCGAAACGTTTCATTTTTCATTATCACCCTGAATTTTGCCGTTTTCGTGGTGTAATTTAATTGATAGTGTAAGACTATTTGTCTCTTCGTTTGTTATGCCATTTAGTTTTAAACCAGTATGCAGACAAGAATTTTATAACCCAATAAATTGTAGAACATTTTTTGGATGTGCATTCAAGAACACATTTTTAATAAAACCATTAAAGTTTTTCGTCCAATCAAAGTTTTTATCAATAATTGAGTCGTCCTCTAACAAGCATTTATAGGAATAAAATTATTTCTAAAACATTTTATAAAAACATTACATGCCTTATAAAAAGTATCATAATTTCTATTACACTGTCATGAAGATATATTATTGTTAAAAGAACAAATCAAATATTACAGTCCAATTTTTTAATGTAAAGAGGAAAGGTACATAGGTTCCATAGCATGTCAAGCTTGTAATTAAACAAAAAGAAATTGTTATTTATGTACATCAATACACTACTACTACCACTTGACATATCAAATCAGCTGATTGAATTAATTTATCTTTCTCCAAAGAGTTGACACCAGATTAGCAACAAAATCTAATATTACTAGTGCTGTTTAGGTAATAGGTGATTGCTAAATAGCAGCAACACCAATAAAAAAGTTATGATAAGAATTTTTAAAACAAAAACATACTGTTACTCAAGAATTCATTCATCAAAGTGAAAATATATAGTTAGGTATATCTCATCAAGTATTAAAAGCATAAGGTAAGCATTTTTTTTTAGTTTTACTAGACTAGTGTTTCTGTTATATTTTTATTTTGATAAGATCCATTGTCCAAGAAAAAATCATTGAACTTGGGTTAGATTTGAGGGCCTCTACTTTATAACAAATTGAAAATATATATTAAATTGATTTTGTTGTTGTTTTAGTAAATACTATTATGTATGTTTGTTATCACATTCACACCAAAACTGTTGAACCAATTCTGATGATTAATTATACCAGTGTTATGTGTTAAATGTCAATAATTTACTTTAATGACAATACTTAGTCATCAATCAAACTGAAATAATAATTATAAAATGAGTGAATGGGCAACTAATTAAATATTAGTTTGAATTATCTAGTCTACTAAATATATGTTTGGTTTGTTCCAATTTGTAGTTGCATTGAATTAAATTGTAGAATGAGGTAAAGTGTAAAAAAAAATTCTTGATAGGAATTTTGAAACTACTAGTAACTCTTCCTGGCTTTTTGGGCCTCCGTTAACCTCACTCACACGGCGAAACACAACTCTGGTTATTTCACACCGGTTTTCTGTGAGGATGTGGCATTACTCTGTTCGAGCCAACCCATTCGTTCCGAAGTATGGCCCTTCCACACTTTGTATTTGATATGGGTAAATTAAGGCCTTAAACTAATGCAATTAAATCAAAGCCTCAATCTATATATATGAAAGAAAGTTGTGTTAGTTAGACTCAAGAACGGCTGAACCAATTAGGCTGAAAATTTGTAGGGAGGTAGCTAAGAACTGGAAGAAGGACATAAGATAGGCTAGAATAGGTAGTGTAGGTTAGGTAGAGTACGGTAGATAGAATAGGGTAGGTAGAGTTGGGTAGGTAGAGTAGAGTATGGTGGGAAGAGTAGGGTAGGTAGTTAGCGGGTGAGAGCTAGTTTTGACATAAAAGTACCTATTTTGGTTTTACATGCGCACATACGTATATTAAGATGTAAATTTTTATTTTAATAGATTACTGAATCAACTCAATCAACTTTTTTTGATAAAATTTGTGCAAGTTATAAATTCATTGTACCTTTTTACTGAGACTCCAGAGAAGTATCTCACTAGTTTCATCAAATACATTAAAGTATGTAATCAAATAGTATACACTGGTAATATAACTGTTTTATGGACTTTTTTTATACAATACACATTTAAAACAAACCTAACCTCATATTACCCTATGCTATTATTTTTTTACCATAACCAAGCGAACTCCACTCTTTTCTAAAATTTCTAACTAAATGTTTCTTTGTTTGAAAAAGAAAACTGACAATTTTTGTCACAATTAATTTAAATTTTCTCACTTTTTAACCCTTGACTAGACTTTAGACTTTCATGAGTATTTCAAGAACAAACTTAACGAAGTCGCTCCAACAGTTTAACAAGCTGAACAGCCATTCATTTTTATAAAGGTTTAGTAACTGATTGATATTTTCCATTATTCAAAATTTAAGTTATAAAGAAAGCATTAGGCTTCGTAAAACTTTCCAATAATTTCTATTTTTAGTTCTTAGCAACACTTTATTTATCTCCAGTCACATTATATCATCATTGTTCTGTCACCATGTACATATGCAGATATTTTTTAAATTTTATCATCATCCATACCACATGCAAAGATTGCCTACACTCCTGATGGGTTTCAGTTTTTTTACATATACTTACTAAGTCTTTGTGTAACTTTATTAAATAAAAATGCTATTAACATATTGATTTCTTCGACTCAAGAATTAAAAGTGTTTTCCACCATTGATCAATGTAAGAGTATCATAATAGATATGTTTTGCATTCATATGAAGTTTATGTATATTCATAAAACAACAAAAAATAGGGCTAGCCGCTAGTATCTATGCTATTTTTTTGTAAGGAGAAAATCATCGAATGACTTCTCCCGGTCAGACTCTTACTGACCAATAACCCCCAAACCTTCCCCTGCTCTCAAAGACCTGGTACCATATAGTAAATCCCTGCTGAACAGCAGCCCTATAGGCCGTTGGCTCTTATATACTATGCACTAGCGAATTTATTCATCCATGTAAGCATTTAGTCATAATCATATGTTTTAATTCGTTTTGTGTGAGTCACCGGCTTACTACTTCCTTAATCACATAACATGTTATACTGTTTCATTATTTTCATAATTTATAGAATGTAATTGTGAAATTACATGTTATGTAAATTATGTTATTGTTTAAAAATATTACCTATTTTCTACTTTCAAATGGAATGGACCTTGCTGTGCTATGAAGTATGAATAACATGTAATGTATTATAATTTATAATAGATATTTTTACTTTTTTAACACACTTTTATAAAATCGCATCTCTAACAAACCGTGTAAGAAAATTTAAGATTCGGAATTACACATAATTCGAATTCTTGTATCATCTTGAAACTTGGTAATTACCTATATGGGACAATGCAATATCATGACACCACCTTGCTAGTTTGATGATGGGTTTGGAAGTTACCTTCCTACCTACTACTACTACCTACCTTAAACGCTAAACCTTGGACTGCATACTAACAAACATATCAAGTTTATTCTCATAAGGTATGACCATTTCTCATGTGACGACATGAAAAACGAGTTCTTAGTTTATAATTTGTCAAACTTCACCAAGTGTTCAACAACAGCTAAAAATAAAGTTTTAATCTTTTTTCTTTATTGTTACAAAGTGGTACAAAACATTGTTTATACTATTTTTGTGAAGAAATATCTGTTTATTTAATTTATGTTGTCTGTTATCTGTAATCTGACTAATGATTCAATGATCAAACAACGTCACTACTTTTGTTAGTACCTATGTACCTACTTGTAAAAACTAAAGTTTCGTAAAGATAAATAGCTCATTCAAATAAAAAGTATTTTAAAACATTAATGACTAGGTAGAAGAAGTATTCTTTGTCCTTTTTTCGTTTTTTGACTCAAGTTCGCCTCTATGGCAGTGGTTATAGAGGTGAAATTTTGATAAAGAACGGTTATGAGTGACTAAACTCTTTATATTAGGTATCGTTATACCCAATTTGACTTTGCCCGACTTGGTGTATCGGCTCAAAAAGAAGACTAATGACGTAAAATATTACACGACAACATCAAGTTTTTAATTCATAAAACAATAAATATACCATAAAACACAAATTAAATGTAGGCAGCACTTTTGTTTATTTTTAGATTTCGCGGTTTGTTCTCCATTAGCAAAATTTAAATTTGGGTAAAATGTGGCTGATGCCACTCTGCATGATTGCTTGCATGCACTTAGGTATCACTCATACTTATATCGTCCATTGAAGATAAGCCGCAAATTTTAACAGAATATAAACAGAAAATGCCTACCTATATTAACAATACTCTTTTCGTTCTGAAGAGGTACCTACAGAAACTTTGTAGCATCAGCAGATGGCTTGAAAGTAATTCAGATAAAAAGAGAGGTAACATCTGTTTTCTAGCAATACATAACCTGAAGGATATTAGGACTAGCTTTTACTCAAAATTATAAATAATAATACCTACATACTTAAAAATTATTACTTTTTAGGTATATTCCCACTATTGGTAAAAATCTTGATAAAATCATCACGCTGCGAAACCGTATTGAAGGCCCAAAAATTTATGAATTTGATTCATAAATTTTTGGGCCTTCAATACGGTTTTAAGAGGACCTTATCACTATCGGCACCTATAAAGAGGCTATATTTCGAAGTTGCAAAGCCTTGGGGCACATCTCTAGGGATCATCCCTACTATGACAAAATTAAAAACAATGTAATATCGTAAAATAACGCCGGTACTTTTCCTATAATGGTATATCCACGTGGTATATCCTATATCTTGAAACGAGCAATTTTTCAATATAAATATGTCTATAATTTGAAACTCCGCTACGGCTCAAACGATGCTCTTAAAATTTAGTATATGTGAAACCCTGTGCTTTAGGGTCGATAAATC